TCTTTGATCTGTTTAATTGAGCATCCAGACCCCCTCGACACAGCAAAATTAGCTCAACCAATGGTGTATCTTTGGGGCGGAACTATCTGTTTGTTCAACAAATGGGTCACAGTGGGCGTGTTCAGGGAAAACCAATTGTTTTGCATTTATATCGCTCCAAATATAATTTCCAAACACTTTAAAATTCAACAGGCCTTCCAAAGTGACAAAAATAAATGATATAAAATAGGGCTGCACGATAAATCGCATGCAATATTTAACGCGCATCTTGTCAGTAAAGCCGGTTCTTTAATCAGCGGTAAATCTCCATCACCTGCGGGCTTTCACATGGAGCAGCATTAACTACACAGAGCCGTTGTTCACGGACAAGCTGTACAAAACCACGATCATATTTTGCGCATGTTTTGCGCAGTTTGTCGGTGAACAACGGCTCTGTGTAGTTAATGCTGCTCCATGTGAAAGCCCGCAGGTGATGGAGATTTACCGCTGATTAAAGAACCGGCTTTACTGACAAGATGCGCGTTAAATATCACATGTGATTTATTGTGCAGCCCTAATATAAAATATGATTGGGGTTATTTTAGTATTTTTTCTATACTATTATAGTATTTATTAATATTTAGAATTTGCTTAGTTTAATTGTTCGTTTTAATTTTAGTTTAGGTTTAATATTTTTTATGTGCTTAAGTTTAGGTATTCATCTAATATATATATTTTTTCATCTAATACTTTATTTAAATGACCAAAAATGATTTTGAATATTTTTAGTTTTAGTCAACAAGAACAACACTAGATTATGGGTACACAATATATCAGTGACCATATCCTCCAACACTAGCATTTTTTTCCTTTGGCTAATTTTTGAAGCAGATCAAACAATGCCATACAAAAACAGGCAGAAAATTCTAGATTATAGACTTATAAAATATATAATGATCTTATCGGGCATAACATTATGTTAAGTTTATTGACTTATTTTTCTGTATCACCTACACATTGCTGATGCAGCTGATTTTTTTCAGTGCACTTTGCCCAAGCAAAACTCTTAAAATATAATATTTATTTCCCAAAGTAAAAATAGTTGCTAGTGTGTATAAATACCAAAACAGCAGCTGGTATTTAAAGGTGCTAGGCTAATGACTGTATTTTTCTTAATGCCAGCACCTTCAGAATTTCACAGCATATGTGCAGCAGACTAATGATCCAAATGAGCCCTTTTTTCTCCAGATCATTTACTGCACACATTGGAAAGCCATTGGTTAGACTTTCTCCATTATAAAGAGGAGGGAAAAAAAGAAGAAATTCTATCACTAACCGCTACAAGGCAGGTTCAAGCCGTAAAGGTCTTGTCTGCTGAAGCATTTCAGCTTGGCTTAGCTTTCTTAGCTGACTGTAGTAGTCATGAAGCCATGACCAGTCTCTGCTCCACTTCACCCACACCCACGCACACATGCGTTTTGCACTATAAAAGCAAGCGTGCGGCAACAGAGCAGAGCATCTTCTAAGACACAAAATGTAGGCTGTCAGAAGGGCTGGCGGAGCCTTGTTCCTGTCACGCTGCCAGGATGCAATACCACTCAGCTGAGGTAGAAAGCCGTCAGTTGTAAAATATGATGAATTATCCCTATTCGGCAGAGAGTGGGCCGTCTGTGGGCGTGTGCCTCTCTGTGTGTACGCGAAAGTACGTGAGGGTGTATAAAGAGAGGCTACGCCTGTGTATGTGTGTGAGTCTGTTTTGTGTGACTGAGCACTGGCGTTGTAGTTGGGCACACATAAGAGTGTGTGGGCGAGAAAAAGATTGAGAGAGACCAGCCACAGGGTTACTACAGGTTTAATGACGACCTTGTTGTGCACGCACTTTGCTGCTTTCAGTGTTGAGTTGCTCAGTGCAAGCGTCTAATCCCCGTCAGAGATTGCACTTGGCAAAGCCCTAACTAAAGGGGTGTGCCCCAGCTGGGAAATGTCAATGCGTGATGCCCATAATGCTTGTTTGGAAGTAGGTCACAGTGACCTAGTTTAAATGGTGCATGGCCCTGATTGACTGAGTCACCAAATGCTATCTTAGGAATGTGTTGTTGTAGTTCCACAGGCTTTTGTGCCTACGTGTGCAAGCAAAGGATAACAACAACTTAGCAGTTGCAGTGGCACAACTATGTCCAAAATTCTTTTTTTATTTTGAGAGCTAGACGGCGGGTATGAACGCACATTGCAAGGGCAGCTTTGTCGCTTTTTATTAGGACCTAATGCTTTGTATGGACGCCAGCTGTTGCATCAACTCAAACGGCCCCGGCGGAGTGAGTGACCTTGACTTCAAACAGGGCATGCAGCAGGTTTTGCTCCTTTTGCCTCATCATGCATTTTAAATAGCCTAAATGGATTACAGTTTCTGGATGGTGGATGTAATTTATGATCTGGTATTTTTTGGGGGGTTCAATTAATCTTCCAGCCTTGCAGTTGAGAAATGAGGGATCCAGTCCAGATATCAGATACTCTCCATTTATATCAAGCCATTTGTTTTACAGGGATTTGTATTTCTCAGGTAACTCATTCAGGAGCCTCGTTGCCCTGCACTGATGGTGATAATATTGTGACGAAAAACCCTGAAAAGAACTGAGTGAACAGACTCATATATTACCGGGATTTGTCAAAGATAGGCTACTACAATCACTTCTTACACAGTTATTCTGAAGCTCATAGCTGTCAGAAAATCGTAGCTTTTTCATATTTGCAAAGCTTTGATTTGAAAGTTTTTACCGAATACATTATTAAAACGGCTGATTTCTTTAAAGATTTTTTTCTTTTCTAACGTAAGATACTGAATATCTCTTAGGAGATGAGATAAGTGTGTTAAAGTAATTGTTTATCTGTTTAACAGGGTGAAGGTGTTGTCAGTATTGTGTTTCCTCTTTTCATTGGATTAGGACAACAAGCTACAGTGGCCTATTGACAGAAGTATAGGATGAAGTGTTGTTGTTGTTGGTCCAAATCAATTACCTTCTCCCACTCTTTGACACATTAGATATAACGCTTTGTCAGACAAAACTTACATTTTCACAGTCAGATTCAGCTTCCAAACAATTTTCATGAAATTCCTCAACTATTTAATTGACAAATATCATTATACTATATCATTATCATAACATCCATACATTAGAGCTGAAATATACTTACATTCAGTAGGGTTAGGCAATAGGCATGCATTTTATTTTATTTTACAGTTCAATTAATGTTTAAAAGTCTGTTCTATAATGATTTGTCTTTAGAGATAATATCCAGATTAGAGCTATTTTGATTGTGTAGTGGCATAGGAGTTTCTCAGGCCTGTGACACTCACACCCCTGTGACCGATATCTTGATAAGGTCATCCTGTACTGTCCACCCCCTGTCAGCCCCAGCAAAGTAGAACAACCAGAGGTGCCAATTATGAGCAGAACAAATCAACCAAAGCCATTGACCTTCACTTTGACCATAGAGCACTGACAAGGTCAGCCTTGTGTGTATTCCATGATTAAGTACTTACAATTCCATCTCATTATGTTTTCATTTTCCTATGAAGTGCAGACATTGTTGTGACATTGGTAGTGCTGTACCAAGTTGTGTTGTGAGTATAGTGTTTAGCAGGCTTGTACATATACACAATAAATGTGTCAGTCTGCAGAGCCAATGGTACTGTGTGATCCAGAGGTGGTATATTTTGAGATAATGTAGTGAGAGCAACTACGGTAACATAGAAGTGAAGGACTAGGCTGCATCATGTGGGCGTTTTTCTCCAGGCACTGACACTGACTGCAGAGAGGGTGAGAGAGAGATGCCTATGTCTGTCAAACCAGCCAGCAACATCAGAAATCGTCAGAAATGAACTTTTTGCACCCTGAATAAATATATCAATTCATATATAACATATTGGATTTAATATAAAATTTATCAAATGTAAGATAACATAAAACAGAAATATTGTTTAATAATAACTGGGCCATTTTCGTCACTTTTGCTCCATTTTTGCTCTGAGCCCTGTTCAATTTCTGAACCTGCCAGTCATTATAGATAATTAGAAAAAAACTTCCAAATACCTGTTAGCTTTCTGTGGTTGTCTTACAAAGAATCGAGTTCTCAACTGACAGTTTTGTGCGTCTAACTTGGCAAGAGTTCTGTCAAAACATTTAATCCTCTTCAGGATACTGTGCTTTGGTATTTTGTTTTACCTAATATCTGTCAAATCAATCAAGTAGTCTTTAAAGCCCTGTGTATTCAGCTTTAATGAGATTCAGCAAGCTAATTCCTACTGCTTAAGAGTCCGGAGAAGAGAAAAAAAAACCTTAGGACGATGGTTATTGCTATGATGGTATAGAATGAGTCTTAATTTAATTCCTTTCAGTATACGAGTGAGATCCATCTTTAGGTCATAACTTTTGGCATGTGAAAACACTTGCATGCAATAGCGGAGGACTTTTTGGCCTTGCTTGCCAACACATCATTTTCATTTATCATCATAAATAACCTGATGTTTAGTCTTTAAAAATTCAAGGCTCAAAGGCAGAAACACTTTTTGATCATGTTTATAACGTCTTTTGCCCCTAAAATTGATCAAAATAGGAAATGTTAAACTACATGTTAAAGATTAGCTGAATTTGCTTTGTTGAATAAGTCTTAATTTAATTCCTTTCAGTATACGAGTGAGATCCATCTTTAGGTCATAACTTTTGGCATGTGAAAACACTTGCATGCAATAGCGGAGGACTTTTTGGCCTTGCTTGCCAACACATCATTTTCATTTATCATCATAAATAACCTGATGTTTAGTCTTTAAAAATTCAAGGCTCAAAGGCAGAAACACTTTTTGATCATGTTTATAACGTCTTTTGCCCCTAAAATTGATCTTGTTAATGTTAAACTACATGTTAAAGATTAGCTGAATTTGCTTTGTTGAATACAATAATGTGTGGTATACAATATCTAGCTAATAATTTTCATAATAATTCATTTTTCTCTCTCTTGTGCAGGACCATCACCAGCTGACCTTGTGGACAGAATTATTGGATGTAAGCAGTGATTTCACTCACCACCCTGGAGCTTTGAAGTACAAATCCAGTGCCATGGAATCCCACAAGACTTGACTGCATTACGATCCTGTACTTATCTTAACAATGGCAAACATGATTTTAAACTACATTCATGCTTAGCTCTTGCCTCCTGTATGGGGGAATGGCTTGTGAATCGTCATCATACCTTTCTTTTACCTAAAAAAACAAGATTTGGAAGCTAAAAACTGTAAGGTCTCTTGGCAGAACGTAACAGAACGATTTTCCCTCTATTGTGGTGGCCAAACATACAAGGGACTATAGTATTGAACATGACTCATGGGGAAGAGCCTGGCCCTGAAACACACCAGGATTCTGCTGTATTAACATATCTGGAAGGCTTACTCATGCATCAAGTAGCAGGAGGACAGGGTGCGGCAGCAACACAGAGTGGAAGCCAAGAGCAGAGGAATAAGGACGGGACAGGGCATGCACAGCCTAGTCATGGCACTCGACAGGAGCAGAACCGAACAAATTCCTACTGTGGAGCCTCACAGCACCTCAGAAAGGCTCGTCTTCTCAACTCAGAGGCCTGGACGGAGAGTGAGACTCAACGGAGGTCAGCACCCTCCGTTGCACTCAACGGGCAAAGTGAAAACCACCACAGTGGCCAGAACGGTACCTTCCAGGATAAAGGAGAGAGTACACTTCTAGCTAGTTTGCTGCAGTCTTTCAGTTCTCGACTTCAAAACGTGACCCTGCCACAGCAGATTATCCAAGGTTTGAGGCCACCAGATGCCCCCTGCCAGATAAGCAAGCCTGTACAAGTAGACAGGGCAGATGTGCCTTGCCACAGACCAGCCTCGAGCCACCTCAAAGGGTTAGTGAGCAAGAGCAAAATGCAGAATCACAGCAACAGTGTGCCTTATCAACGTCGACGGTCTAGCCAGGAAAGTTTTTCAGAATCTTCCAAGGCACTGCAGAGCAGTTCTCCCTCTCCATCTCCTGAGTCTATATCTTGTACTGAGCGCCTAAAAGCTGTGGCAAACCTGGTAAATATCAGATCAAGCCCCGCTCCATCGCCCAAACCAAGTGTGGCCTGTAGTCAACTGGCTCTGTTGCTCTCCAGTGAGGCCCACCTGCAACAGTACTCTCGAGAACATGCCATGAAAGCTCAACTCTCTGGACGATCAGCCAGTGAAAGATTATCTGCCATGGCCACACAGCAGACACAAGATAAACAACCTACAACTTCTGGCCAGACTCATGGACTAAGTCTCTTACACACCAAGAATGGAATACCTTCACAAATGTCAACCAGCTCCAGTCGACAAAGTCCAAGCCTGACCTCAGGGCAAAGAAGGACAGAAGGTTCCATGCGCACAGGACAATGCTTTAGAGAGCGTCGACCTTTCGAGAAACAAGGCAGACCATCACAGAACTGCAGCAGTCTTCTACTTCAGCTTCTCAACAGTCACAACACCTCACAGCGAATTAATGGACAGGGTCACCTGAAAGACGACCTCAGTACCTTTGGCACTCTGGCCTCTCCGCTTTTTTCAGACAGCGAGCACTCAAACCCCGACAGCAGTCTTACAAAAGACAGCAGCGATGCTGAGAGCACTTACTCTAGTTGCTCTCCTATTGACCTTTCTCTGAAGAATAGAACAAATGTACAAACACCAGTATCTACTTCATCCTCACCTGTACGGGACAGAGTCCCAGAGTCTTCGTTAAACAGGTGGAAGCCTGAGAGTCCACCTGTCAAAGTTAGCTCAGATCACAGGGAGGTGGACACCTGTTCAGAGATGAAACCTCATCACAAGGTCACTCTATTACAGTTGCTCTTGGATCACAAAAATAACGAGAGAGTAAACAAAAGTCTGGATAATCCAGATTTGCTGCAAGATGTAATCCCTAAGGTCACTAGTGCATCTACAAGTAGCCAGAGTGTTTTCAGTACAGTTAGGTGTAAGGACCTTAGCGGACACTGTGGATTGAGTTGTAGAAGTCCCAAACTCTTGCCAACTTTCTCCCAAAGCAGAGACTCCAACAGCAGTGCATCTCCATATACACTTTATGGGTCTCCCCATTCTCAGTCTGTCCCATTGGATCTTTGTAAAGCAAAACAGCCTGCAAGTGATGTAAGAGTAAAAGAACCTGCCTTTAGTGCTAGTAAATTGTTACAGAATTTAGCTCAGTGTGGAAAACAAAACCCTGACATTTCTCCTCCAGCACAGGCACCTTTACCCCCTATCAAACTCATGACCCAAGAGCTGAAAGTTAACCATCCTCCAACTTTACTTGAGAGACTCACTGCACCAATTCAGAGAAATAACACACTGTGGGAAGAGACCAAAGAAAAAACTTCAGCTGTGCCCGAAGCAACACAGCATGTCTCCGAGATTGAGAATCTGCTTGAAAGGCGTACAGTTCTACAGCTTCTTTTGGGCAATGCACCTCAGAAAGAAAAGGTAGGCAGTAAACGAAAACGAGAACATAGCAAAAATAGTTCTGTGGAAAAACCAACACATCAGGCAACTGGCCAACCAAATGGTCCTCCTTTGGATATTACAATTAAAACTGAGCCTGTTGAAGAGGGTCATATGTATGACTATAACAAAATGTCAGTACTGGAGCCTAGAAAAAGCACCAGTTATCATTCTCATGAAAGCATCAAAGAAGAACCATTGTCCCCAGAGGCTCCCACCAGAGATGGTCTTCTCTGCCATCTCCTAAAAAAACGACCCAACAAAACCCTTCAGCCAAACAAAGTAGAAAACCTAAACAAGAGTTGTGTCAAAGAAGAATCAGTTGAAACCCAGGGACCAACAATCCCAAAGAAGCGGAAATTTTCAATAGAACTAGAATATCATAACTCCTCGACTCAGCATACCAGGGATTTGGAACATTCTGGTAGCATGAAAGAAGACAACAGTGGTTGTTTTGCCGCCAGAGATCTAGAGACAAGAGAGACCAGAGACCCATCAAGCCCCCCAGAGGCTGACTGTCCACCAGCTAGGTTTCCACCATATGATTCTAACGAAAACCGAAGTTTCAATGTTCTAAAGCAGCTGCTTCTTTCAGACAACTGCTTGAAGGAATTGTCTCAGCCAAGGGGTACATTCAGTTCACCGTCACATACTGTGCTGAATGGGAATACAATCAAGCACTCATGTAATGAAGGTGAAATTCAAAACTTTCACCAGAGCCTGAGTCCCAGCAATCCATCTTCTAAAAAAGCAAGCAGTCACAGGCAAGAAACTCCCCATGTTACACAGCAGGAGCCTGCAAGGTCAAAAATCGATTACAGCACCACAAAGGATTTGAAGGGCCCTGCAAAGATGGTTAATGGAGATGATCAAACACACAAGTATGGGCCAGACTCACCTCGGTTTACCAAGACTAACCCTATTTTGTACTATATGCTCCAGAGGAGCAATGCACAACTGACTAAAGAGGTGGAGGGCTTGGAAGTAGGCTCGGGTCAAATACAGACAAAGGTCAAAAACGAGTCATCAGGTGATACTGAGGCCTTTGAACTTTGAAACAAAATTCACAGAATTACAATGGAACACTTAGTTGTGACTCAACACGGCTAAACGGGTCATTGAAGAAATACTAGTTTTGAGACTGTGAACCAGCATCTGTGCTTGAACTAGAAATGTGCTTCTTTTTATTCTCTCTGCTTCTTATCTACTTTTGTTTTTATTGAGACATCTCACATTTTTCACTTGAATTACGTGTAATTTAGTTCACAAAAAGACCATAAAACCAAAGTTCATTTGAATATTTATAAGCACTACTTTCTGGCTGATTTCTTTCCTACATTCTAAGCCGCAAAGAAAATAAAAGTTTTCTACAAAAGGTGTGTGACAGATTTGCCCTCATGTATTTGTAACAATATCAGTTCCCACTCTGTTTTCCACACATGGGTTGACTTTTGGCCTCAGGCAGTGAGTTATGATGCACCGATGCACATGATAATCTGTATAAACAGATTGTGCCTCAGCAGTTGTTAGTGAATATTCTTCAATTTACCATGCTGAAATGAAGAAATAACTAAGTATTGTTACTTTGTCTATGCCAGAAAGGCATTAAATGTCACAGTATTTATACATTTTCTGTGGAAAAACCAACACATCAGGCAACTGGCCAACCAAATGGTTCTCCTATGGATATTACAATTAAAACTGAACCTGTTGAAGAGGGCCATATGTATGACTATAACATAATGTCAAAGCATTGCCAGAATCCAGAATGGGAGCCTAGAAAAAGCTCCAGTTATCATTCTCATGAAAACATCAAACAAGAACCATTGTCCCCAGAGGCTCCCACCAGAGATGGTCTTCTCTGCCATCTCCTAAAAAAACGACCCAACAAAACCCTTCAGCCAAACAAAGTAGAAAACCTAAACAAGAGTTGTGTCAAAGAAGCATCAGTTGAAACCCAGGGACCAACAATCCCGAAGAAGCGGAAATTTTCAATAGAACTAGAATATCATAACTCCTCGACTCAGCATACCAGGGATTTGGAACATTCTGGTAGCATGAAAGAAGACAACAGTGGTTGTTTTGCCGCCAGAGATCTAGAGACAAGAGAGACCAGAGACCCATCAAGCCCCCCAGAGGCTGACTGTCCACCAGCTAGGTTTCCACCATATGATTCTAACGAAAACCGAAGTTTCAATGTTCTAAAGCAGCTGCTTCTTTCAGACAACTGCTTGAAGGAATTGTCTCAGCCAAGGGGTACATTCAGTTCACCGTCACATACTGTGCTGAATGGGAATACAATCAAGCACTCATGTAATGAAGGTGAAATTCAAAACTTTCACCAGAGCCTGAGTCCCAGCAATCCATCTTCTAAAAAAGCAAGCAGTCACAGGCAAGAAACTCCCCATGTTACACAGCAGGAGCCTGCAAGGTCAAAAATCGATTACAGCACCACAAAGGATTTGAAGGGCCCTGCAAAGATGGTTAATGGAGATGATCAAACACACAAGTATGGGCCAGACTCACCTCGGTTTACCAAGACTAACCCTATTTTGTACTATATGCTCCAGAGGAGCAATGCACAACTGACTAAAGAGGTGGAGGGCTTGGAAGTAGGCTCGGGTCAAATACAGACAAAGGTCAAAAACGAGTCATCAGGTGATACTGAGGCCTTTGAACTTTGAAACAAAATTCACAGAATTACAATGGAACACTTAGTTGTGACTCAACACGGCTAAACGGGTCATTGAAGAAATACTAGTTTTGAGACTGTGAACCAGCATCTGTGCTTGAACTAGAAATGTGCTTCTTTTTATTCTCTCTGCTTCTTATCTACTTTTGTTTTTATTGAGACATCTCACATTTTTCACTTGAATTACGTGTAATTTAGTTCACAAAAAGACCATAAAACCAAAGTTCATTTGAATATTTATAAGCACTACTTTCTGGCTGATTTCTTTCCTACGTTCTAAGCCGCAAAGAAAATAAAAGTTTTCTACAAAAGGTGTGTGACAGATTTGCCCTCATGTATTTGTAACAATATCAGTTCCCACTCTGTTTTCCACACATGGGTTGACTTTTGGCCTCAGGCAGTGAGTTATGATGCACCGATGCACATGATAATCTGTATAAACAGATTGTGCCTCAGCAGTTGTTAGTGAATATTCTTCAATTTACCATGCTGAAATGAAGAAATAACTAAGTATTGTTACTTTGTCTATGCCAGAAAGGCATTAAATGTCACAGTATTTATACATTCAAATAAATGAAACCGGTTGCCTTTTTAAAAAGATTGGCATCTCTCATTGGTTCTGTATTGTTTGGATAAACTAACAGCAACGTTAAAGCTGTATATTCATTATCATGTTTGGATAATATGGAATATGAATCCATCAGTATTACAACATGATATCTTGAAATCTATGGTATGTAAAGTGTGTATACTTTTATGTTATCAGTGTCCTCTTTAATTTCTCTCTCTCCCATTGAAAACAATATTGTGATGTGCTTTATTCTTTATTCTGCGTTCTCAGCAATTACCTGTGTCAAGACAGAAATGGATTTTTACAATACTCTAGAAGATGATGAATGAATATCACAAGAGTTACTACAAATGTTTTGTATTTGTGTATTTTATGAACAGGTCTTGGTATTAGCATGTCATAAGATGATTGTTCTATTATGCAAGAGATTGTTGCATCGACTTGAGACAAATCAGCCCAATCTCAGCTGTCTGTCATGCTAATGGACACATTGATCTAATAAAGGGAGTGTTTGTGGTATTAAGGCCATTCCCACAAAAATATTGTGATGTTTTACAGTCTTACGTTTGACATATGTTGTATTTCATCAATCTTAAAGACTCGTTATAAACTATATTTATGTACATAGCATAATCTTTATGAAAGACAGCTATTTTGTATGAATGAAAAGCATTTTAGTTTTGAAATTTCTTAGAGACTTCAAAGTAAATGCCATGTGAATATGTATTCTAGAGGATGATTTTTGTCCTTCTTTTGCATGTGTCTCCTGATTAAACTATGATAATCTGTTCTGCAATATCTTGTGTTATGTCAGATATTTAAGAGTACACTGCTGCCTGTTGCATGCAGATGCATGAGAAGGTTCCTATGTATTACTGAACATTGGGAAATTCAAAGTCTTAAGCATATATGTATATATATATATTTTGTCATGGAGCCCAATACATAAAAATGTGATCTGTATGTCATGAGAAATAGACCGCTGGGCAAAATGTTTAAAATTTTGAAACAAATGTGCATATGAAGATATTTATTTTGTTTTTACTCAATTTTATTTTTTACAAGGAGACAACCAAACAGGTTAAACAATCATGTTCTGTACTGTACAGTACAAAGATGGATTACACTGACACTTCAAAGACTTCTGTTGGTTTTGAAATATTGTTTTGATGCAGGCTAACTGCGATACGTTTGAGTATTATTGTGTATAATTATTTCTAAAAATACATTTCATTTGGGTGTTTACTTGCACAGATTTCGAATAAAGTTCTGAAATGCACAATCAGAATTAACCTGTCGTTTATGTCTTGCAATGTTTTTTTCCCCCTTACTATACTGTCCTGATTTATGTCTCAAGTAGCGTATGACCTGTGCTTGACCCCTGGCTGCAAAAAAACTGATTTTACATGCAAAAAGGAAGTTAGGAGGAATCTGTTAAGAGTGTGTTTGTTGTACATGGAAATCTTTTCTTTGGCTGACTAAACCTGGCTGTTGACCTAAATTTTATCTATGCCCTGAGTCATGACCTTAATTCCTGTCGTTCACGGTGACATATATGTGAGAGGAAATGATAGGACCAACATCAAGACAGATCAGTGGCCTGTAAAAAGGTATTCTGGAAGAAAGGGACACTCTGCTACAAAGAACAACCTGCCTCGGGCCTACAGGGTTGCTTTTATCAGGAAACGGAGGAGAGAAATGCGATTCCCTCACCTTCTGCTCACTCGCATCTAAATATTGAAATTCTTAAAAGCTCAAAAATTACATGCAGACAAACACAGCAGAGCACGAGGTGTTTTAATAATCAAAGCTGGGAGAAGCACGCAAGCCTGTTTTTGAATATGAGCTTTCTTTTATGTTTTCCCCCAAAACTAGGTCATATAATATAGGCCTACACCTTCTTTTATGTGTCTGTGTTAAAGTGAGGGGGTAGGGGGTGGCTGAAGTGAGAGTTGATGGGATTAATTTAAAGCTAAAGCAGGTTTGAGTTGTACATGAGTGTGAATCAAAAATGCTTTGGGAGTTTCAGGGTAAGCTAACAGATCAAATCATCATCTACAGTGCTTTGAATGTTAAAAAGCATAATAAATGGCGTCATTTTGCTTGTAAAGGAAGGGATGATAAACCTCATCAACACAACTGGAAAGTGCTGTCGGGAGGGTCGGTAAAGCAGCGGCGCCACTGATTAAGTGGAGGACACTCTTCACATTCCTGCTGAGTTTCTTTTACAGATCCTCTCCCTCGTAATTGGAC